TAAGGTGGAACAGGGAAAATTCAAACAAGACACGCCAGAATGTAACTGCTGCACCATTTAAGATGAAATGGGAAAATTCGAACAAGAGGTACCTGAATGTAACTGCTACACCATTTAAGGTAGAATGGGAAAATTCGAACAAGAAGCTGACAAATAGGAAGCCAGCTTCAGCTTCATCAACTCTTGAAGGTCTCCCCACCGTTGAGATGCCTCGCTGATGTTAATACGACTCTTTGCCCTTGCCTGATCTAAGAACTACTTTCTCAGTCTTTGTTCTTTGGATCTTCTCCTCTATGGCTGTTTCTTGGCCATCTCTCCTTCTTGGCAATGCATGGAGTTCAGCACATAGCCCCTCCTCTTCCCCCTGTCCTGTGCACAAGCTCAAATGCCCCATGTTGGTGATTGACTGGAATAGTGTTGTGTGGTTCGGCCCCAGCCACTTTTTTGTTTCCGCTTTACTGAGCCAGGGTTGTGTATGTACACTGGATTTTTTTCCAGCACACGCACAGCACTGACAGCTAGTATACCGTGAGGAGACATTTGCTGAATTTGACAAAAAGTGTATTGGGTTAAAATCGCTTACCTTTAAGGGCATGGTGTGGTGCAATAAGTCTTTTCATATTGTTTTTTCCCTTGGGTCATTAGGAAACACCAAGGGAGCGGAGGGAGTTCTCTTTTTTACAAAAAGTCTCCCCTAATTAACTGGAGTGCAGATGTAGGATGTTTGTGTTGACATCCATGAAATGAAATGGATTAACATTGTTGAATCTGGATATGGATTAATATGACGATGAAAGAGGACATTGTTATTCACTGTAATTTGATATATAAGCATAAAATGTCATTTCTCTCCCAGCCTCTGGTACACTATATGTTGGGCTAAAGTGTGAATGCTGCAGGCTTTGGAATTGGTAATGTCAAAGATCTAGGTATTTCCAGAAACTTCTGTAAGTGCACTTCAGCTGGTCTTAAAGGAGAATAGCAACCAGTGGGCCTTGAAATAAAAGGGCACATGTGTGCCTGCTGGCCGACATTGCTCGAGATGAATGAGGCTGCACTCAGGAGGGTGTCTGTGGAACAGTGCGCATGAGCATGGAGGATTGAACAGTAAATGTCAGAAGGAAAACGCTTTGTTAATGAGAACACGTTTGCTGTTTATGAGACTTTCATTAACAAGTACACTTGAGCCAAGGGCTCAGTGTGGTCATTGTCAGCCATGTGAGACAGATTACCTCACTAATATAGTAAGCGAGAAACTCAGTGAATGAATAAATGACGTGACAAATATGCAGAATATTATATTGTATTATATTAAATTAATATGAATGAAAGAAGATATGAACATTTTAGTCAGAGAGGGGGAGAGAGCGAGAGAGAGAAAGAAAGAGAGAGAGAGACTTAGATTACGATTGTTCAGTGGGTTAATCCAAACTGTAGTAAACAACCATAATCCTGCTCTACTGTCGCAGCCAGAGGATAAAATGAGGGAAGTCTCGACAGATGGCCAAACTGATCACACACAACCTCACCCAAAACAACACACACACACACACACACACACATAAATGCTTTTTTTGTGCATTTATTTGTTTTGTTTCCTAGTGTTTGTTGCCCTTATTTAAGGCTTAGTACTATTATGGACTAAACTGTTTTGTTGTTAATTTGCAAAGTAGTATTAAAATTATGCAAGAAACAATTGTAGACAATGAAAACTTATTTATTAGGCTGCAACAGCAGTTATTTTTTATCTTGCAATCATTAATGGCAAAATATGAATTCCGATTTTAAGCTAATGGAGGTTTTGCTTGTGTGGTGGATGGTCTTATCATGCATTATGGTTTGGTTACCAGCTCCAAATAGGTCACAAAGACACAAACAGCGAATACAGGCATGCCACGTCAGTAAAGTGACCTAGTATGGATTAACCACATTACTACATTAGACCACCCTTCACTACGCACACACTCAGACACACACACACAGATCCCTCCCACATCTCTGGGGATCTCAGAGGGACTGAGCATGTCGAATTAGTGGCATTTCCTTCCTCTCCTTGTCTAGCAGGTGATTTCTAGGTGCTTTGCATGCATATAGTTGTAAATTCTGTAGTAAAAGATATACATTGTTTACAGAAGGCTATACCTTTACAGTAAACCAAAAGAAGACTCTTAAACTGAAACATGAGTTTGTCATGATTATCTCACAATTAAATGTCTGAAGTACTTTATATATTGTTGATTTGCTGTGTTCTTGAGATTATAGGTTTGCATATTTTCAAATGCTTTCTACAACCAATAAAAGTTGGGACGCTGTGCAAAATGTAAATAAACACAGAATGCAATAATGTGCAATTCATTTAAAACCCGTACTTAAAGGAAAATAGTACAAAGACAACATATAAAATGTTGAAACTGAGAAATGTTTTGTTTTTTGAAAAATATTTGAATTTTATGCCAGCAACAAGTTTCAAAAAAGTTGGGACAGGGCAACAAAAGACTGATAAAGTTGTGTGATGCTAAGAAAAACCACCTGGTGAAACAGTGCTCTGGGTCAGAGCACATTTAAGATAAACTAAAGTGGATTGGAAAAGTGTCCTGTGGTCTGAAAAATCAAAATTTAAAATAATTTTTGGAAATCATGGACACTGCGACACTCCAGGCTAAAGAGGAAAGGGAACATCCTGGCTTGTTATCAGCACACAGTTCAAAAGCCTGCATCTGTGATGGTATGGAGGGTGCATTAGTGCTCAAGGCACCATTAATGCTGAACTATATATAGGTTTTGGAGCAATGTATGCTGCCATCCAGATAACGTCTTTTTCAAGGAAGGCCTTGCTTATTTCAGCAAGATAAGGCCAAGCCACATTCTGAACACAGCATTACAACAGCATGACTCCTAAGACAGTCCAGGTGCTCAACTTGCCTGTCTGCAGTCCAGACCTGTCAACCTTTTTGAAAACATTTGGCGTATTATGAAACTAAAAATACGACAAAGGGGACCCCAGACTGTTGAGGAGCTGAGATCCTATATCAAGCAAGAATGGGAAAACATTTTTTTCAGAACTATAGCAGTTGATCTCCTCAGTTCCCAAATGCTTACAGAGTGTTGTTAAAAGAAGAGGTGATGCAACACAGTGGTACGCATCACCTGTCCCAACTCTTTTAAAATGTGTTTCTGGCATCAAATTCAGAATGGACATATATTTTTCAGAAAACACATGATTTCTCAGTTTCGGCATTTGATATGTTGTCTTTATATTATTTTTAATTAAATATAGGGTTTAAATGTATGCATTCTGTTTTATTTAAATGTAGCATAGCTTCCCTACTTTTTTGGAAACAGAGTTGTATTATATAAGGAAAAAGGATTGAATATTATATATTATGTAAGAATATATGTTTTATTAATTAAATTTATGGCAGTGACTTTTTTTCAATAAAAATATTATGTGCCCACAAAATTATTTACCTGTTCACTTGATAGTCTTTATTCTGACCCTGCTACCTTTGTTTACCTGTGTTTCTCTGAGAAGGAGCAAATGTGGCAAGCAATGACAAAGAAACACTACTTACAACATTTAAATAAGTAAAATAATCCCAGACAAATTATAGGATCATATGCATAGTAATCCTATAAAATGTAAATAAAAGCACAATTGTTGGAGAATTTTAGTTGCTGCTCAGTTTCTAAAAACATTTTTTTAGAAATTATATGCCCAGTGAGGCCTAAGGGAGAGACTGTTTGTGTGTATCTTAATTTAGATGCAGGTATTTTGCAAAAAAAGGGAAAAAACAAGAAAAAACATTTATATAAATGTAGTGTGGGAGATGTTTACCTCCTGATTCTCCTGCTTAGCATATTTCAGCATTCACAAACCTGGATAACTGCTTATTCTGGTGATAGCATGAATATAGCTTGTTAACAGTAACTAGCAGCATCCAACTGCTAAATCCACTAGTTGCATTTTATAGATATGAATGGCAGCAATACCAGCTAGGACTGCAGAATATATTGTTTCTGCATCGCCATCGCAATGTGCGCATGTGCAAAAGTCACATCACAGGATGTACGAGGTCAAGTAAGGCAAACTAAATCAAATGTTTCATGCTACTGTTAGGGATGTGAAGGGTTAAGGTTCTGAGTGCATTGCATTGTGGTAGCTGTAGTCAGTTTACCTGTAGTATACATGGTGCTGTACCTGTCGTTTTTATTTTCATGTTGGTCACTCATTCTTTTCTTTTATCATCACACTGTGTGCAGTAAATGCTCAATACTTCACTGCCATTCTAGTCTAATGCATCCTTTGTCAGGAGAAACATGCTAAATTTGGGATTATAAAAGGATAGTTCCGGCCACGTTCGAAGACGTTGTAAAATACATTATAAAATAAACTCTGTATTACTGAGCCACATCACAAAAAATCCTTGTGCTGTTAATGGAAAAATCAGTGATTTGACAGTGCCTGTAAACCTCATGTCCATCTCAAAGAGCAAAGAGTTTGATTACTGCTTACAATTTTTTTGAAAATGTAGTAGATGTGGTTTTGGGTAAGCCAGCCCGAAGTGATGAACTATGGAAGATTTAGTGCAAATAATCTTCATGAGTTCAGATTCAGCAACTTGTTGATTGTGGCGTCCAACACCATCCAGTCTGCTGTTTTTATAACCTGTCTCTGGTGAGATTTTCTCTGCAAAAGGTTAAACACTGACAGCTCGTGAGGGAACAAGCTTTTGCCAGCTTAACAGGACTCTGGTCCAAAAGGGTCATCAGCTCTAATCATCTATTACCACTACTGGCAGACGACAACAGAGACAAGTAACGGAGACAAGTGGACTGTTTAAAAACGAAAAATAAATTTCTGTCCAACTAGGCTTGGTATTAAAGCCTTGAGTGTGACTTTTTTCTAGCACAATAGTCCTGGCCTCAGGCTTCTGTTCTAGATGATGTTGTGTTCAATGATCTGGACTTTGAGATTCCCCCCTCTTTTTTTGTTTCTGCAGTATGGACGGTCGGACAGCTACCGTGTGGCAACCACACAGGACAATGATGAGAAGGAATCTCCCAAAAAGAAAGGAGGGAAGGATCTGGATGACCTGAAGAAGGAAGTGCCACTGGTAAGACACAAACACATGGTGCATAAATACTGTTGTATTACTCTCTTTAGAGGATTCTTTCAAAGAACTTAGCAGTTAAATACTGTGATGTCTGAGCCTCTAACCTGTTTCTAATCAAAGGAGCCAAAAAGAAGTTTTTCATTTCAAATAAAACTTTGTGTTGTGTTTTTCATCATGGACAATAAAATATTTTTGAACTGAAAAAACCACAAATATTTTCATCTGCTCATATGCACTGGTTGTTTTGTGCTGGCTTTTTAACAATGTTATACTTACATACTGATATATTCACCCTCACTCATTTTGGTTATGAAAAGATTTAGGCTTAGCTAGTAATATTACCAGAATAGATTTGAGTTAGTGTCATTATCAGACCAACACGACTTCACTCATATGTTGCCAGAGCTAAACTTCTCATTTTAAATTGTGTTTTTAGACACACAAGCATCAAGCCAGCAAAATCTGATTTACAAACAAACATGAAAAAACAATACTTAATATCAGCTTTCTGAAACCATATTTAGCATAATCCTTTCTTTACCTCTATGCTCAACATCATCTGTCTAGATGTAGCTGTTTTTATCATTTTTCACTATGATTAACATCCTTGGAAGTGAACATTCTCTTTTTCTCACATTCAGTCCCACTCTGTCGCGTTCTTACATTCTATCCATGCAACTCTCTCTATTAGACAGAACATAAGATGTCAATTGAGGAAGTGTGCCGAAAGTACAACACTGACATTGTACAGGTGAGTTCCACAGATGTTTTATTCATCCTTTATTGTTTTAAGGAATCTTCCACTGAGGATCCAGGCAATATCAAAATATTGAAACTGTACAGTTCTCAATGTTTTGCTGATCTAGATACCAAATTGTCCAGGTTTAGTGTAGAGCTGTCACAACTAAAAACAGTTGTCCTGGTTACACTAGTGATGATACCTGCATGCTGTCTCTCTTTCTAGGGTCTGACTAACGCTAGGGCAGCCGAGTATCTGGCCCGGGATGGTCCAAACGCACTGACCCCTCCCCCCACCACCCCAGAGTGGGTGAAGTTCTGCCGGCAGCTCTTTGGGGGTTTCTCCATTCTACTGTGGATTGGAGCCATCCTGTGCTTCCTGGCCTATGCCATCCAGGCTGCCACCGAAGATGAGCCAGCTGGAGACAATGTGAGGACGCACTCCTACACATACACACACATATACACGCAGAGTTGGTGGAGAGCAGATGGGGGAGCTTGGAAAGAACCACGGGTATTAGGATAGTGTTGGGTATTAGTATAGGACTTCAGGACTTGATCTGTAGACAAGGATAAAAACAATGCTAGAAGCTTAGAGCTTGAATGCTACTTGATGCTGGAAATCCCTCACCTTAGAGCACAGGTTCCTAGCCCTGGTCCTGAACTACCCACTGCCATGCACATTTTAGTGTTTTCTCTGCTCTATCAAACCCACTTCAGTTATGAAGGGCTTTTTAATGAGCTCATTTGTTGGATCAGGTGTGTTGGGAGCAGGGGAAACACTATAATGTACAGGGCAGGGGTACTCCTGGACTAGGGTTGGGAACCACTGCCTAAGAGTTTAATACCAACCCTCCTTTAACACACCTAAAACAACTAACCAAGCTGTTTAGGAGCATCTCTGTTTTAGAACCAGGCTTGTTAGAAGCTGGAACCAAGCTCTGCTGCAGCATAGATCTCACGAAATTGTGCACCACTTATCAAGAGGAACACCAATAGACAGAACAGCGTACAGCCACAAAGACAGAGAAGCAAGTATAAAAACTTTTTGCTCAGTAGTAGTTCTCAAAATGAACTCAAAGCAGATCAAATTAGCTGCAATTAGTTTCTAGGAAACCAGGTAAACACAAGGACAGAAAAAGTAGGGATAGGTAAGTAATCCCTCAACAGAACATAATCACTAGATTGTGCACACCCTAATCCATAATCTCTGGCTCTTTCCTCAGTTGTACCTGGGTATCGTGCTGTCTGCAGTGGTCATCATTACCGGCTGCTTCTCCTACTTCCAGGAAGCTAAAAGCTCAAAGATCATGGAGTCCTTTAAGAACATGGTGCCCCAGGTACTGACAGTCAGTAAAAATGCAAAAACTTATTTATTTAATTTTTTTTTTTTTACCAAAACCCACATCACTTCCAGTGTCAGCGTTGATCATAATCTCAGACCTGATCTCTCATTCTCTTCACTAATTTAAACATACTTGTATCACTAACTGTCATGAAGATCAAAATTCCACTCTGACTTTAATCAAGGATGACATGTTTAGTGATTGCCAGAGTAGTGCTTTCAGACCTACTTACCTAAACATAAATCCACCTTAAAGAGTGCAAATGACTATAACCCTGCTTTAATACTGAAACAGTCTGAGCACTAAATGTGTACTTCAATCTCAATCCCAGTTATTTTGTCCTGTCTCACAACATAAAATCCTGTAACTGTCTAAAGATGGGAAGGATCTGCTGTATTATATGCTTAATGTGTAATATTATGTTCAGTAAGTCAAGTCAAGTCAAGGTTTAATTATATATAGCTTTTTACAACAGGTGTTATCGCAAAGCAGCTTTACAGAAAAATCCGAGTCTAAGCTGCCATGAGCAAGCCAATGGTGACAGTAGAAGGGAAAAGCTACCTAAGAGTAAGAGAAAGAAACCTTGGGAGGAACCAAGACTCAAAAGGGAAACCCAACATTGTCGACATTATGTGTTATAATATGTGTGTGATCTGTGTATGTTTCCTGTAAGCTGTACCTGGGAGGAAAAAGGGAGGACATTCCGAACAGTTATGTCTAGCTGTCTACGTATAGGTTAAGAACTATTGTACTTAGTTTGGCAATGGTCCAGGCAACAATATGCCAGAGCCAGTCTATATAAACACTGCCATTTTCTATGTTGGATGGGTCAGCATGGCGTCTGTGAAACATGCACACAGCAAAGAAATAAAGATAAGTGCTACAAATGCAAGGCTGGCCTCCTAGTCCGAGTTCTGTTTAAGGAAGAGGGTCCAAAAATTCTACAGATGCCTGAATGTAATCCTCTTCTTGTGTTCAGAAGTATGATTTATGTGTCTGTGTGACATAGCAAGCATTGGTGATCCGTGAGGGTGAGAAGCTACAGATTAATGCTGAGGAGGTGGTGGCTGGAGATTTGGTGGAGGTGAAAGGAGGAGATAGGATCCCTGCTGACCTTAGGATCATCTCTGCTCATGGCTGCAAGGTATACATATGCATTTTTTGCTCTGGAAGCCATTCATTTTTCAGTGTGTCAAAACTATTCTTATTTGTCTGCTTAAAGGCTAGCTAGGTAGAAATTGTATGATAACATGGATTTTTATATAATATTATCTCCATCTTCAGGTGGACAACTCCTCTCTGACTGGTGAGTCAGAGCCTCAGACCAGGTCACCTGACTGCACCCACGACAACCCCTTGGAAACCCGTAACATCGCCTTTTTCTCGACCAACTGTGTTGAAGGTATATCATCATAACACCTACCTCATTAGCTGCTTCTGGACTCATTTTCTGCCCCCGTGTCTAATTCATACTATAGTTTTGATTTTTTTGTTTTTGTCCTTGTTTGCTGAAATGGAAAAGTGTTGTCATGACAACCACCTTTGCAGTTTATTTTCCATGTATTCACTCTATCTTGTCACTTATCAATCAATCACCCACACAATCTCTCTCTCTCTCTAACTCTGAGTGAAATAAAAAAAAAATCACATTATGTAATAAATAGAGATTTTACGATCAAAAACGTTCTCTGTCATTCTACAAAAAAAACCTTAACTGTTTTTTTTTTGCTATAGGCAAGTGAAGTTGAGGATTAAATTTCACTTCTCCTGTGGTTTTAGTGCTAAAGATAATGAAACAAAAATTACATTTGACTGATGTAGCCATACTTTTACAAGTGATTGATGTGCAAAAGTTACTTGCTCATTTAATGCAGTCAGTGTAGAATACAATAACTTGAAACACCTGGTGATAAAATGAAACTCCTCAATGATAATATTGTTCATTTCAAAATGTAAATTAATAGGTTGTTGATGGTCTGATGATTCAGAACAAACCAAACTGAAACCAAAAAAATGTTTTATGTTTTACTCCTGAAACATCCCTACTGTGTATGTGGCCTTTGTTTTCTTTTTCAAAGTTTAGATTGTTTGCATGCTCAATGCTTGACTGAGCAACAGTACAGTTCAACTTGAATTCCTCAGTCAGGCTGCCCTGTGTATTTGAAGCGAGGATCTAGGTTCAGATTTACTTTCGAAACCTAACAAGTGTCATTGATTGACACAGGACAGTTGTTCTATAAAAAAGCATTCTGGACTGCTTGAACATATGAGCCATGGCCCTCTGTATGCCTTTCAGTCACTGACTGCGACTCTTACATTGAAGTGCCTGCCTCAGCAGAGGTCAACAGTGTAATGCTCTTGGTTAAAGAGTGGCTGACTGCATATGCTCAGGTTGTCAGCAGGATGCTGCTGTGCAATAATTCCTGACACTAATACTAGGAGACTGGCTTAACTGCATAATGGAGATCTACTGCCCCCCACTGGTGGATACAAGTAATACAAAAAAACTTAGAAAGCTGTTCTGCATTACCAGATGGCACACACATTTAGGTAACTCAGTTTCAGACTTAGGGTTGAACACCATATCAGTAACTGGACTACACACACACACACATATATATATATATATATATATATATATATATATATATATATGTATATATAGATAGATAGATGGATAGATACCAGCATCCTCTGAAAATATTGCTTCTTCTTTACCTTAAAATCAAGAGCAGGAAAGCACACTCTTCTTAAGTGTATAAGTTCAGGGCTAACATATTATCTCGTGGCTCAATATGGGATGCTATAATAAGCTAAAAATGAAAACATTAACATATTAACATAAGACTTTCAAGCATTCCTTGTTTTTGCTGTAGTGAAACATGTATTGAATCAAGATACCTGTTTATCTATTTTTTGTGAAGTGTTACACGCCTAGGATTTATAGATATGATCAATACAGTACAGCTAACTTAAATAGATTCTAGCCTAAATGTTACAGTACCAAAACTAATATAGCATTGCTTATTTTTTGCTCACACTCTAGATTAACAGATGCTAATTCTTAAAATAAATTTGAAGTGCTATGAAGCTTCATCATTTTGAAATCATTTTGGCAAATTTCACAGATTTTTTGTCCTCTTTTGTCATCTTGCAGTCAGAATAAAACACCACACGCTTTCACATTATTTTTACAAACTAAGACCGAGGCCTTACAAGTCAAGACCAACCTGGGATCTCTCAGAATTTCTCATGAAGAAGTGCCTTTAGTTCAAAACAAATGTGGTGGATGACATTAAAGTACAGGTTGCTGTGGTAGTTTTGCAGTTATGTCTGTAATAACAAGAATAAAATTAGTTTATCCTAGTTTTAAGTAAGCAATTGAGTGGACATTAGCATTATACTATATTCTATATACTATGTCTGTTCAGCTTTTTATTTTCCAGGCTTTCCATTAAGCTTCTTGTCCACACATGATGTCAACACCATCTATCTATCTATCTATCTATAAATGTATATTTATCCATTTATTTATGTGGTCACCCCCAAAACAAGATTTTCTGTTTTAAATACTGAGCATGTTTTATATTTACAGTTAAAAACTGGGGCTTCCACAACTGGACTATGAATAAAGCAAAGATGTATAGACTGGATTATACCTCACATCACAGGATAATCTGGAAAGTCCGTCCTGAAATTGGGACACCTTTTGTGATTGTCAGAACAGACAAATTGGCCTCAAAAATGGTTGGATTGTCCTGTACTGTGGGCCAGAGACATAAGAGACTGTGAGACATGACTTTTGAAGGAGTAGGTACTCATTGGACAAGTTTACTCAAAATTCATAATGTACAACGAATTATTCAGTGATAGCTGCTATATGTATGTAAGTGCTGATGAGAAATACTGACAAAAAATTAATGAATACTCAGGGAGGAATACTAATGTGATAATTATTAGCATGGTCCTCTTGAATAGAAGGATAGATGTATATCCTGAGTGACTTCTATGAAACTCCATAGAAAAGATCTTCTATGTGTAAATGGGAGAAAGTGGCAAAATTACCAAAGCATTTTCAAAGCAGGTAATTTCCAATAATAGAACTTTTGTCTATTGAACAAAAAATGAAAAAAAAAATTAAAGATGTTAAAAATAACCACTGACAAAAGAATTTATATGAAACACATTTGAAGTGATCTATTTCTTTCTTTCTGCAGGTACGGCTCGCGGTATTGTTGTGTGCACCGGAGACCGCACTGTCATGGGCCGCATCGCTACTTTGACCTCTGGCCTTGAGACTGGCAAAACACCTATCGCCAAGGAGATTGAGCACTTCATCCACATCATCACCGGCGTGGCCGTCTTTCTGGGCGTCACCTTCTTCATCCTGTCCATCATCCTGGGCTACACCTGGCTGGAGGCTGTCATCTTCCTGATTGGCATTATTGTGGCAAATGTGCCTGAAGGCCTGCTGGCTACTGTCACTGTGAGAACTGCTCTGCTTTTTTGTTGTTGTTCTCTGTCCTGTTGCCTCCTCATTGTTTTAATTTCTGGGTATATATGTGTGTGTGTGTGTGTGTGTGTGTGTGTGTGTGTGTGTGTGTGTGTGTGTTTGTTTGTGTGTGTGTTTGTGTGTGTGTGTGTGTGTGTGTGTGTGTGTGTGTGTGTTTGTGTTTAGTATTGATGGTTCAGGCCAATAATATCAGACGTCTTGAATCCTTAGAGACTCATTGGTAAAACCTCTGATAATTAGTTGCTCACCTTTATAGTACGGGCAGACAGGTTCAATAATCTGCCTAAGACCTCCCTCATCTACCAGCACATCTACATCCTTGATTAAAATAACACGTGCAACGTTTAGCATTCACATAAATGCATAGTACACATATAGTATATGTAAGTATAGTAGATCTACTTTTTGCCTATGACTTCCCTCCCTTGTCTACCTGCTTGCCTACTATAGGGTGTTAATTTACTTTCCTGTTCATTTCTAATGAACAGGAATGTAAATCCCATCAGGTACCTATGTACCATTAGGCTCAGAAACAACAAGGAAGAGACAAACTTCCCTTCCTCGTCTTCCCACTGATTCACATACAGCTGGTCATATCTTTACTTTGCATGTAACATCTGTAAACGCTCTCTTATGTGACATCTGTGTCTCATCTACGTCTCATCTCCTGTTCAAATCAATAAGAACAAAAATTAACACACTGATTTAGATGAACAGGTAGACCTCAAAAATGTCATTGAGTCCAATATTGTAACAAGCGTCTGACATGAAGAAAGCCTTCAGAAGATCAAACACTTTTGCAGAGTTAATTTTTTATTGATGTGCTAGTGTTTATCACAGCAGCACAGACTGAATTGATACATTTAAAAACACAATCGTGGTTAAAATGACTAAAATGTGTAAAGTGCATCCAGATTTAACCTTTAGTATGATGACAGCATGTTATAATCTAAGTTTATTTTTGCTTTTTAAAGAAACATAATAAAAAATATGACGTTAAATAAATAAATAGTATTATTTATTATTTGTGTTAAATAAATGTGACAAGCACTCACAATCCAGTCAGCTAGTAAAGCATTGTTTAACTGACTACTGGAGTATAAAATAATAAAATAGAAAATAGAAATTATATAGCTGAAATGATCAGTTATCTGAAATTTTAGCTCCTTAAAATCAGTACTGGTAATGGTCATAAAATTTTCATTTTGGTTGGGCCCTAGTTAAATGTGGTGTTAAAAACTGTATCTACATCCTGCTCACTGTGCTTCAGTAGCCGACTCCCTCTGTAACTCTCTACTTTTCTCCTACTAATTACCGTTTGTAGTGTCAGTGGTACTATTTGTGACTTGGTGGTGGTGTTGATGGTCCATGTTACTGTCATGTCTGTCTGTGACAGCTTGTGTCCTTGTTGTATGTGATTCTCTTTTACTGTGTTCTTTCTCTCTAATCCTCTGTTTCTGTGACTCTTTGTGAATGTGACTCTATCGCTGTCTCTCTGTGTGTGTTCCTGTTTCTCTTTTGTCCTCTTTTTCAGACTCTCACTGTTGAAGGCCTAGGCCAGTGTGAAAAGCTGAAAAAGTATTACTCTGTGGTATCTCTAGTTTGCTTGCGCTTGCTAATGGCTGAAAATTGGGAGAGATTTGGCACTCATTTTTGTAGGCTGTTGCTGTGCTTGGCTGCGTTGGGCTAGCCTGTGCCCACTGATTGCGCTACAAAGCCAGAATGTGCTTTAGGTATCTGTGCTGCACCTGTGCTTAGCTCTTCAGGGCCCTCTTTCTAGAATGTTCTGCAAGTGCACTGCTGCACGGCACTGCACTGCAATACACTGTGCTAGTAAAATTGTGTCGGGGTTTTTACTAACACAGACTGTCTTTTTCTCTCTTTTTTTATTCCACATTTTCTTTCAAACTCTGTATCTTTCTTCTACCTCTCCAACTATGGCTCTTTTTTCTCTCTCTTTGACTCATGCCTTTTTTCTTGTACTTTCTGTTTTTCACCCTATTTTCCTTTCTCCTTCTCAATGTCTGAACTGTCCACCCTTGCACTGGCCTTCTTTCTGTTGCTCTTTTTTTTCTTTCTTTCTTTTCTTTGTCTTTTGTTTTCTCTCTGTCTCTCTTTCTCTCTCTCTCTCTGCCTCTATCTCTCTTTCTCTGTCAGGTGTGTCTGACCCTTACAGCTAAGCGCATGGCTCGTAAGAACTGTCTGGTGAAGAACCTTGAGGCTGTAGAGACTCTGGGTTCTACCTCCACCATCTGCTCCGACAAGACTGGCACTCTAACGCAGAACCGTATGACTGTCGCCCACATGTGGTTTGACAATCAGATCCATGAGGCAGACACCACTGAGGACCAGTCTGGTGAGAGGATAAACCTGCAGTGCTATCTGTTTACAGTGAATGCCATTAGGGAGCAGTTTACAATATTATTTATGATACCTATTTCTTTCTATTTCTATTTATTTCTATTATTTTATAGGTCATGCATCTTAAATGTCTCAATGTGAAAGAGCTAACGTAATATCGGTTGTGCTTTTTCATAACCAGAATGAGATAGAGAGGCTGGAGGACTCATAGATGAGCATATTCACTTTGTGAATATTTTTCAAATTACAATTCTCTTGCTCCATGTTAAGGAAGTTTTACAGAGATTTCTTCATATTTTTCATTTCAGATTTAGAAATTTAGCCCAGTCCAGTACAGTACAGTTATATTAGTTGCATGTTCTGATATTTTCTTGGATTATGTGACCAGCCATGATGCACTAACATATGACTGGATAACAAAATGCATTATTGCAAAATGGTTCTTATTGTTCTTGTTGCATTTTTAATAATGTTCAACAAACTGTTTCTTTTTTAGGGACATCTTTTGATAAGACATCAGTGACGTGGGTATCACTAGCCCGTGTGGCAGCGCTCTGTAATAGAGCGGTGTTTAAGGCAGGGCAGGAATCTCTGCCAATCCTGAAGCGAGATGTGGCTGGTGATGCCTCTGAGTCAGCCCTGCTGAAGTGTATCGAGCTCTCCTGTGGCTCAGTCAAAGCCATGAGGGACAAGAATAAGAAGGTGGCAGAGATTCCCTTCAACTCCACCAATAAGTATCAGGTTAGTAATAACCTAAAAAGTGAAATGTAACATAATACCATTTTGGTGTAATTAATGGCCAGAAAACATATAATTACGAATTAGATATTTAGTAAGGGTCAACCGATTATCAGCTCTGCCAGTAATCTGAGCTGATATTTTTCATTTTATGATAATCAAAATTGATATTTAAACTTGTGTCTTTGCCCATTAGAAGTATTTTACATGATGAATGTTCATCTTTAATGCAACTGAAAAAACACTTCTGCCCACAGCCATACTGGATCAGGAAGATCTTTAATTAATTACATATATTTCAGAGCTGTTTGCAAGTTATTATTTATATCTATTGTCTTTTTAATGACTTTGATTCCTTGCATTTTTTCATAATTTCTATATGTTAATATTATATGGAATCTCTATGCTCTTTATTTTTATAATAATCAAATGTTTAGCATTACTATGTCATTAAACATTACGTTCCATTAATGGCCATTGAACATTGGCCCCATGTAACGTTATCGGCCTCAATGTTTACCAATAATCGGTATCAGCCTAGATAATTATATATAAGCCAACTCTTAATACTCAGTACAAATCAGACAATTAAAGATACAATTAAAGTATTTAACAGGGTTTCCACTGATCTTTAAAAAATTGGATATTGAAAACTTCGTCATAAAATGTCAAACGTTTATTTTTTATTTTTAAATGTTTTTTTTTTAATTTATTAACTTATTCAGTGTAGGGATGTCAAGGCATATTTTATTTGATCAGGTATTGGCTAAAATAAGGTCAATCAGATTTGTATCCTTTGTTTAGTTTTTGTGCTCTGTTTACTTCACTTGCGTTGAGATGCCTTAAACTGACATTATTCACAACCTGCAGCAACGAGGAGTTTTTTCAGAATGCAAAAAATTCAAATGTCTGCAGTGTTGAACTGTTTAAAGAGGCTTGAAACATGTCATATCTGCAGCTCAAGCATTTCCAGTTTAAAGTAGCCACCTTGCAATGTAAAGTGTGTGTGCAGTTAGAGACTGTTTGTACCTCTTGTTGTGGGCGCCATGCCACCAAAACCATTCCTGCATGTTTTTATCCTTGAATCACCATCGGTTAAAAATGCTTTGCAGAAACATTGTGCTTTACTGTCTGTGTGCAACATTTCTGGTTTAAAACTGGCGTTAGCAGAAACGTTAGCTCGTTCAAAGGTGAGCGAAAAGTGAAGCAATTGCGCTCGCATTATAATAGCATGAGAGTTTATTCACCATATAAGATGGTTATTTTACATAAAAAGTGAAATCAGTTATATAAATTATATATTGTATAATACAATGCATATAATAGAAAATGAAGTGATATTGTCATCATATGAAAGTACTTAATCAGATTTGATCATAAGCCAATATTAAACACACTATAAAATGCTCATTTTGAAAAAGCAGATTAAAAAACAAATTAGTCCAGAATGTCAAATTATGCACACAGTAAAGTGAACTGAACTCTGATAAAAAAGGGCAAAAAGTTAATTGGGACATCGCTAATTAAACTGTAAGAAGATGCCTAAAAATCGAGTCATCTTGTATGTTAAACTAATCCAGAATAGTCTGCAAACTGAAAATATCCAGCCGACGGTGGTCCTGTGGTCCAAACTGACCACTTATGAAAGGGTAGAGGACGGCAGAACTGATAAAGTTAAAAACATTCAAAAGACTGTGTAAGGACTGTACAACCTTAAAGCATACATATATGTTTTTTTCAACCCAATGATTAGAATTAAATAGATATTTAATATATCTCATAGTTGGAGGTGCGTAAATTTATATGGTGGAAATAGTATTATTTTAGTTATGCTGAGCTCTTTAAAAAGTATAAATGAATTTGATTTTCAAAATAAGATGGCTGCCCCACTGCTGGGTTTTCCAAAACATTGAGTGGATGTAAGTATGTTTGATTCTTACAGTGCTCTAAAAACAAGACTCAAGATCCAAGAGCGATAATGAAAAGATTTCTGTACATTTGTCAGGAATGGTCAATAAAAACTGTTTTTACCATTTTGCCTCATAATGGGGCAGAGCAGTATTTGGACATAGGATGCATAAAAGACAAGAACTTGCAATCTTTCGTAATCAATAGAATATTGAAATGGTGAAAGCTATAGATTTTAGTTTTCGTATGTCCAACAATTTAATGTTCTAAAAGTTGTTTTTATGTGTGTGTGTAACATCCTTCCAGCTTTCAGTTCATGAGACTGAAGACCCCAATGATAACCGCTACCTGCTGGTGATGAAGGGGGCCCCAGAACGTATTCTGGACCGCTGCTCCACCATCATGGTGCAGGGCAAGGAGCAGCCCATGGATGAGGAGATGAAGGAGGCTTTCCAGAATGCTTACCTGGAGCTGGGAGGACTGGGAGAGAGAGTGTTGGGTGAGTGAGAGAGAAGTAAATCAAGCAGAGTAAAATGCATTTTTGAATTATTAGGGCAGAGATATCAAAGCACAGTGCAAACTGAAATACTAAACTGGAGTTTATTCAGAGTAAATGCTAACAGTATGTTTAGGACACAGTAAAAGTGAAGGGCAAGTATTTCTTGCCTGTGAAAAGTTTGTAAAAGACTGTAACTGACAGCATCCAATTTTCTCTTTCCATCAAAAACTGAAATACTTCCCTGTCACTAAAATGTATCTCACTTAAGTAGCAAAAAGTAGAGTGTTCTCATGTTTTTACTGCTTTCATTGGCCGTTAACTTGTTCCTATATCTCTGCATATCTATTCTAGGTCACTATGTAAACTATGATTTTGTAAAAAGCATCCTGAATATCCCAAGCTTTCAGCTGTCCAGCTGATGACTGCAACAGCAAATTCAGGGCAAACAACCGTAAAATGAGCTCTTGAGAGTAAAACACTTATGTGCTTAAATGGTTTGCTTTTTTGAAAATACTAGACTGAACCCAGTACCTCTTTCCTTCTCTGTCTCAATCACTCTCTCTTTCTCTCTGTCTGTCTGTCTCTTTTTCTTTCCTTTTGTTTCTGCAGGTTTCTGCCATTTGTTTTTGCCTGAGGACCAGTACCCCAAAGGCTTTGCCTTTGATACAGATGATGTCAACTTCCAGACAGATAACCTCTGCTTTATTGGGCTGATGTCCATGATAGACCCACCCCGTGCTGCAGTACCTGATGCTGTGGGCAAATGCCGCTCAGCTGGCATTAAGGTCATCATGGTGACAGGCGACCACCCAATCACTGCCAAAGCCATCGCCAAGGGGGTGGGCATCATCTCTGAGGGCAACGAGACAGTAGAGGATATTGCTGCTCGTCTTAATATCCCTGTTAGCCAGGTTAACCCCAGGTACTGTACCATTGACATGGTTTTTGTGAACACTCACACAATCACACAAACAAATGCTGAAGTACACCACTTAAAACTCAATACTTATAGTATCATCACAGACTGTCACAACAGAAATACAAACATCAGGCCTATCTTAATTACACAGTGTATTTTACACAATTGAGCAATGGTATCTAGACTTGGTCCTGATAAAACATGTGGGGTTTAGCATGTGAAGGCTTAGTCCTTTTTTATGCTAGAGCGGCACTTCCGGCAGGGAGTACGGTGTACTACAAAAGCATCTTAAGATGATGATAATACTGATTTTGGTTATTTTTGTTTTTGTGTTTTGTTTGGCTATGTGTCATCAGGGATGCCAAAGCTTGTGTGATACATGGCTCAGATCTTAAGGATATGACCCAGGAGCAGATGGACGATGTGCTGAAGAACCACACAGAGATTGTCTTTGCCCGAACCTCACCACAGCAGAAGCTTATCATTGTAGAGGGCTGCCAGAGACAGGTGCATACAAAAGCATAAACACATTAATGCACTGACATACATATAGGTACATACAGTGCTGTGAAATATATTTGCTCCTTTAGTCATTTTTGGTCATTGGTTTGCACCTCTCCCATGGATTCCATTTTTGCCCAGTGTCTTTCTTGTTGTGGAATCATGTACATGTACCTTAACTGAGGGAAATGAGGCCTTCAGTTCTTTAGATGTTCAACTGGCTTCTTTTGTGACCTACTGGATGGGTCGTTGATGCCCTCTTTGTAAAATTTTGGTAGGTCGGTCACTCCTGGGTTCACCATTGTTCCAGGTTTTCTCCATTTGTGGATGAAGGTTTTCACTGTGGTTTGCTGGCATCCCAGATCTGTGGCTCTGTAACCCTTTCCAGACTGGTAGATTTCAATGACTTTCCATCTGTATTTGAATCTCTTTAGAACGTGGCATTATGTGCTGCTTTTTGAGACATTCTAGCCTGCTCCATTTTGCCAGAGAGGGTCTGTTCAAAGTGATGTTTAGATTTAACAGGTCTGGCAGTTATCATGCCTGGGTATGGCTGGTGAAATTGAACCCAATAGTTGATTGAATTTGGTTAACTGGTTGCTTTAGTAGCTGGGGGGGCAATTACAATTTCACATTGGGCCAGATAGGGCTGGACAGCATTTTTTTTTCAATAAATGAAATCATTGTTTAAAAACAACATTTTGTGTTTACTTGTATTCTCTTTGTCTAATATTAAAAGTAATTTGATGATCTGAAACATTCGAGAAGCTGGAAAAAGGGCAAATACTTCCTCCAATTAAAAACTAATTGTATTTTAACAATAACCCTAACCCTTAATATACTCAATATACACTGCATACCCTTAATACATTAATATACACTGGCCAGCCACTTCATTAAGTACACCTTGTACACTCTTTGTCCATTTTATCAGGTCCACTTACCATATAGCTGCACTTTGTAGTTCTACGATTACAGACTGTCGTTCATCTGTTTCTGTGCAGAATTTTTTAGCCCCCTTTCACTCTGTTCTTCAATAGTCATAATTCATACCTGGACCACAGAGCAAGTATATGGCACTGCACCACTGCAGTGACACTGAGATGGTGGTATGTTAGTGTGTGTTGCGCTGGTACAAGTGGATAAGATACAGCAGTGGTAAAAGGGGGCTAAAAATTGCAGATAAGCAGATAAATTACAGTCTATAATTGTACAACTACAAAGTGCTCTGATATGGTAAGTGGAGCTGATAAAATGGACAAGGTTTATAGAAACAGGAAGGTGTCTTAATAAAGTGGCCAGTAGGTATGCTTCAAGAGGGTAGTTCTAGGGCTGGCCCAAATAATTTGAATACTTTGATCGTTGCTTTGGTACTTTGAATACTTTGATCATTACTTTGGTATTGTTTCTCTGTTTAGTATTTGGAAGCTTTGTATTTTTTGTAGCCCAAAATAAATTTCATCAGCCAAGACCTTTAGATAGAACAGTGATTGTTAATACGGGGAATTGGAAAAAAAAAAAAATTCATAGCTGGTTTAATTGTATGTATCAAAAATTCATGCCAGCCATCAGTGGCACCTTGCCTCATTTGCAAATTATAAAACAATGGATCTACAAAGTTCTACCAGTAGAAATACGAGAAAATATTTGATCACTTAGTCACATTTTAATGCCGTCTGTAATAAAAAAACACTTTCAGGGTGCCATTGTGGCTGTGACTGGTGATGGTGTGAACGATTCGCCAGCTCTAAAGAAGGCGGACATCGGTGTTGCCATGGGAATCTCTGGTTCAGATGTTTCCAAGCAGGCAGCTGACATGATCCTTCTGGATGACAACTTTGCCTCTATCGTCACTGGAGTGGAAGAAGGTGAGAGATTAAATGATGGGTGGAGATGAAGGGGCAAAATAAAAAAAGGAAAAAAAACAAAAAGATTGATGGCAAAGTCTGAGTGAATGTTAAAGTCTGAATTGATGGTAAAGTCTGAACAAACAGAAAGTTTGTTCATAAATGTGTGTATGTGTTTTGTATTTGTAGGGCGTCTGATTTTTGATAACCTGAAGAAATCTATTGCCTACACCCTGACCAGCAACATCCCTGAAATCACTCCCTTCCTGTTCTTCATCATGGTCAACATTCCTCTTCCCCTTGGAACCATTACCATTCTCTGCATCGACCTGGGTACTGACATGGTGAGACGCACACATTCACATGTGAACAATGAAGACACAAAGCTCAGTGTATAAAAATGTGTGACATAAACTCATCCAAAGAAATCACCAGCCCTAACTCAGTTACTTTATTCACACACTTACTAGTTTGTCTGCTGAATCCCAGGTGCCTGCTATCTCCTTGGCTTATGAAGCAGCAGAGAGTGACATCATGAAGCGTCAGCCTCGTAATCCTCTGAGGGACAAACTGGTCAATGAGCGTCTCATCAGCATTGCTTATGGACAGATCGGTTAGTACACAGCTACAAAACACATTTTAGGGTCAGTTTACTGCCTAGTTTATTAGAACTACCAAAAAGAAAAGTTTTGTTACAGGAGTGCATCAGCTTCATTTTTTCCCCTCAAGTATTTCTGCTGATATTGATACCGATACCCATCACTATCATTATGCCATGTTTAATATTAATCATAATTTTTTTGTGTACAGGAGTTGTGAGACAATATGCATTGTGAACTGAATACAAATATATTTCTGCTATACAAAATATTCATGACATCTGACATAAATTGTAATGGCTTCCATTGTTCTATTAAAAAATACAGTTCATGATGTTACTGTCTAGACTCTCAGTGGGTAGGAGTAAAGATTTGGTACCGTTCTTTTATACCCAGATTTATTAGTGCTTTAAGCCACTTAACAATGTGTTTATAAGGTTTTGCCTTCCTAGACTGTGGCTTTGCCAAATGTTGACAGGGATAACTTATATCTTACCCTCACTAAAATCTCCATGATGAAATGCATTTTTCTTTTAATGCATGTTGTAGGGTTGTCATTAATTAATTCAGGTCAATCAGGCACTTCATCCTCTTGTTTTTATTTATAACTGCTGCAAGACAGTCATATTCTGTCTCTCTCTGCTTCTGTAGGTATGATTCAGGCTCTAGGAGGCTTCTTTGCCTACTTTGTGATCATGGCTGAGAATGGGTTTCTGCCCTCACTCTTGGTGGGGATCCGGCTCAACTGGGACGACCGCTCAAACAATGATCTGGAGGACAGCTATGGCCAGCAGTGGGTAAGTAAAAAACACCTTAATGGTCCTGCTATGTACCGTATACAACAGAAACACGCATGATTTTTACCTGTATTCAAATGAGTAGCCAAACTTTTTCCCCATGATGTTTTATACTGACAAAACTCATACAGCATTCCCTCGAATACACACATTTTGACAAAAAAACTGATTGCAGTAGCCTCAAAATGGCAGTTCATGCAGTGTTAATGTGTCTAACAAGCTTAGCATGATCTCACTGTGTTATAATGTGAAGATTATTGATATGTATCAAAATTAACTTGTTAACTTTTTTGTTTGTCTTTCCCTCTCTCTTCCTCTTTCACACTTTCTTCTTCTTTTTCACACTCCATTTCCACCCTTCTTTCTACCACTTTCTCAGACCTACGAGCAGAGGAAGATTGTGGAGTTCACCTGTCACACAGCCTTCTTTGTCAGCATTGTGGTGGTGCAGTGGGCTGACGTCATCATTTGCAAGACCAGACGCAACTCTGTGTTCCAGCAGGGCATGAAGTTAGTGCTTTTTCTCCAGTTTCTTTCTTTTTAATTTGTAACTCTCTTTTCTTCCCTCTGCTTTGCTCTCATTCCCTTGCCCTATTTGTGGTATCCTTATCTCTTTTTCCTCCAGCTCTTCAGTGCACTGTCCTTTCAAAGTTCATGTGTAGACTAGAAATGCTGTCCTCATAGTTGACGTTGAAGTAATAAGAGATAAGTTGGTGACTGTGAATAAAGGTTAGCAAGGTTAGCATGATCTTACTATTATGATGATTGGCCTCGACTAGCTTCCATGACCTCATTGTTGAGATCGTTTTTAAGAAGTTGAATTTTTAAAACATAATTACTTTTTATAGCAGTGTATAATCGTAATGAAATTCTGTGTATTGTTTCTCTCTCTGTTTCTCTCTTTCTCTCCCTGTCTCTCTCTCTCTTTCACTCTTTACAGAAATAAGATCCTGATCTTTGGTCTGTTTGAGGAAACAGCTCTGGCTGCCTTCCTCTCTTATTGCCCAGGCATGGACGTGGCTCTTAGGATGTACCCACTCAAGTGAGTTGTTCACTCACACTCGCAACCACAATTTGATGTACGCTATGTGGCCAAAAATATATGGTTATTCCTTCTAATTACTGGGTTTGTATGATTGTATGCTTGAATTTATGTGTCTGTTAGCAATGGATGTGGCTCAAATAGCCAATCTCCATAGACGAATGGGTCATATTGAGGAGCTTAGTGTGTCAACATGGCACTTTAATAGGACTTCACCTTTCCAACAAAGCATTCCTTCAAATTTCTGCCCTGCTAGAGCCAACCTGTAAACTGTAAATATTATTGTGAAGTGGAAATGTCTAGCAGCAACAGCAACTCAGTCACGAAGTGGTAATCCACACAAGCTTACCGAACAGGACAGTAGCGCTCACTTCTACTTCCTAACTCCATCTGGAAGTAATGTCTGCACAAGAACTATCTGTCAGGAGCTTAATGGATTGGGTGTCCGTAGCCGAGTAGCTGCACACAAGCCTAAGATCATCATGTGCAGTGCCAAGTGTTGGCTGGAGTTGTTTAAAGCACACCAGCACTGGACTCTGAAGCAAAGGGAATACATTCTCTGGAGTGATGAATCAGGCTTTACCATCTGGAGGTCTGACTGATGAATCTGGGTTTGATGGATGCAAGGAGAACACTACTTGCCTTAATGCATGTTGCCAACTGTAACGTGTGGTGGAGGAGGAATAATGGTCTGCAGCTATTTTTCATGGCTTGGATTGGATCTGCTACCTGACCTGAGCCTGACAGGGCCCGACAAAACAGGACTTCAAATTAGCACCTGTCCAGAGGTAGTTTGGACTGGGCCCATTACTTCCAGTGAAGAGAAATATTAATGCTGCAGCATACAGTGACATTCTAGAGAAATGTGTGCTTCTGACTTTGTGGCAACAGTTCAGGGAAGGCCCTTACCTGTTCCAGCATGACTGTGGACGTGTGCTCAAAGTGAGGTCCATAAAGAAATAGACTTAACTGGTCTGCACAGAACCTTACGAAATAATGTGATTTAGGCTTTACCTCAGGATTCACTGAACTTTTGTCCTAATCAAAATTAAGTATTATTTTCTATCCTTACATAAAAAATAATATGATTAGGGTGCCTCCAAGTTGGATGTCGGCCCCTAAATGTTAGGAAACGACCTTGCAAGGCAGTCTTCTGTCCGTGTCACTGTATCATAGGCTTTAGCTAAAAACATCCTAGCTGTAATGGATTAAATTGAGAGTCACTATGAAAGTTTTAAACAATGTATTTAAATATCTCTAATTTTTTTAGTTTAGAGAGAAACCAGTCTCTTAACATACACACCATTTGCTTCAATGATGAATTAATTGAATTGATCAGTGTGTGAAATCCATATATTACTGAATTATTATAGCCATGATGAACCTTCGGTATGAATTGGAATGCTGATTTTGAGCTAGAGATTACCTAAAAATTTTAACTTCATGGTGGAGTGTGGGGTGAAACAAGATATTATTTGTTAATATTATTCTTTCCTGCCCATTGATGCATGATGTACCCAAAAATCAGAAGACATTTTGAATAGATGTTTACAGGATTTTGTTGTTTTAATGATATTATGTAATTAATTGTGCTTCATTTGACCAGGACCATGAACTAACCAAAGAATAATAATTTTTCATTTCAGGTCAACTTTAATGTCCATGGTTTTGGAATTAGTTGCTCAACAAGCATATATGGTGTGATGTTTGGGTGTGCGCATAGGTTTGAACATGTAGTGTACTACATTTTGTTTTTGATGATTTCTGGAATTTTCCATCTTTCACTGGTGCTGTGAAGCACAGTTGCCATCTAGTGGTAAAAATGGAAATGGCAAGGGTGCAAAGTGGAAAAATTTTGAAGGTGGAAAGTGATGTGATTAGTTCGATAACACTGGATTATTAAGTGCTGAACTCATTCACGTCTTGTTTCTCCATCTCTGTCCTTCAGGCCGAGCTGGTGGTTCTGTGCATTCCCATACAGTTTCCTAATCTTTGTTTATGACGAGATCCGAAAACTCATCTTGCGCCGCAACCCAGGAGGTATGGTATACACACACACACACACACACACACACACACACACACACACACACACATTTTATACACAGTGATGTACAATGACATGTCGCATTAACCAGATCTTTTCTTTCTCTCACTTTTTCTGTCTTTTCAGGTTGGGTTGAAAAGGAAACCTACTATTAAATTATCAATTCATTCTTTACTCTACATTCAGTCCCTGTTTCCTGCACCCATCCCTGTCTTTCTTCTTGTCTCTCTCTCCCTCCTTCACCTTCTTCTTATTCCCTCTTATTCTATACAACTATAAGATAACCCACAAAAAGGACCATCATTCCCCATGTTACATTCCTTCATCAAAATCAATCAAACAGAAAATGTCAAGAGGATGCGAGGACCAACAACGAAGGAGTCCACCCTCCTTTCTCTCCAACTGCCTTTTTTTCTTTCTCTTTTCTGACCCAAAGACTACAGCTTAGTCTGCCAATGTCTTTATTGTGCTGGTTATCAAGATTGTTCAATACACTGCCAATATTATAATGAACACTAGTGTCACTTAACAAAGCTGTAGCTGGCAGCGGCACTTAAATTCAGTCGCTACCAACAAGGGCACCAAGCTTGCTGTGAACACACTGCCACTTTGGTTCTCCCCCTCAGAGTCATTGTTAGCCATTCCCTGTCTTTTCTTTTCACTCCTCTTTCTCTGTCCATCTGTAGTGCTCTTGTTTTCCTCTTGGTGTGTAAAGAGTATTGTAAAGGATTGACGCTACAGCTCTGCCATTCACAGTCAACTCACTCTCCCCCTTTACAGGGAAAAAAAGGAATAAGATCCACTTATCTCTAGTCCCTTTCTCTCTCTTCATTACACCTGCATTGCCCTTTCTCTCTTTCATCTCCTGTTTCTGGTACTATGTTTTTTGTTTTTTGTTTTGATAGACAATACAGTGTTTTTTTTAAGAAAACAATCGTTAAAATTATTTGACTTTTTTTCATTTTTATGAGTGGGTCTGAGAGCTGCTTGTTTTCATTTTTTCCTTTTTTATTCTGACATGACAAAGCACACTGCCACTGTCACTATCTATTTCTCGTGCTCTCATTCCTTATTTCCCTCCTCTTTCTCCTGCGCTGCCCTCTCTTCCCTCCTCCCTCTTTCCCCATTTCTGTCCGTCTGTCTGTCCGTCTGTTTGTGAATTCCGTGAGCAAACCTTCTTCCCTGATCCTGCTCCTCTCCCTCTTCTCCTCCCTCTTCTCCTGTTCAGAAAAAGAAGAAAATAGAATCTTTCTGTGTCCTAGGAAAAAGAGATTTCTCTCTGATTTCATTATTTAAATAAGTGAGGAAAATAGAAAAAAAGCAGAATAAGGTAATGTACCTTACGTGCGAAACAGCAGCAAGAAAATGAAATAAAAAAGAAGGATCTCTTTTTTCAGTTTGGTGTCAATTTTGTTTTTATGTGTGGTTTATAAAACAATCAGACATGGCTATAATGTTTCAGTAATACATGTAATTCACACACACACACATTTTCTAAATGCTTAATTATTTTAATCAATTCATTGTTGAAGCATAGTCTGTGAGATTTATGTGATTATTTTATTTAAAAGAGATCAGACTCAATCAAATTCAGACACATCCTATAACATGTATTCATGGTGACATTCAGTCCAATTTAATCTATTCCAGTCAGAATGTTTTTAGCTAAAGCCTATGACAGAGTGACTTAGACATAAGACTGCTTCGCAAGATCTTTTCATAAGATTTAGGGGCTCTAGGTAATTTCCTACTTGGCTTATTGCTTAATTTTGATTAGGAAAATGTTTTAAGAAATGCTGAGGTAAAGACAATAAAACAACTACATACAAAAGGTACAGTATATTAAATTGTATTAAATTGTGTGTGTGTGTTTGTGTTTGTGTGTTGAAAATAAATAATTAATTAATATGTGCTTATGGGGCCCTGAGTGACTGCTAACGTGGCTTATAGCAAGAAATGGCCCTGCTGTCTTGGTGAGTTCATGTAATGTGGTTAACACATATACCACACATTGACAAACAGCTATTTCTCCACATATCAGTTAATAAATAATTAATCTTTTAATTATTGCATATATTGCTGCTGATCTTCTAACTTCATTGTTTTCCATGAGACCAATAGAAATCCTCCAAAATTAAAATGTCTTTCCTTAATATACATTCAACTTTATGATTTTTTCTCTGCGGTGACCAAAAAAGTCCTGTAGCCTTCCTTGTGTTGATGTAGCTTTGACCGCTTTTAGCATTCTCTCAGACAGTTTCATGAGGAGCCATCTGGGATGCTTTCTCAACTATGATGCTTGAAGAGGCTCCATACTTGTTATATTTTCAATTCATTTTTTAGTAGTTAATCTTTATATTTATATAAACATCAACTGAACTTTATTTGATTAATCAACACTTAAGCTTTTAGTTGAAGAATTATTTAAGATTATAAAAACATCCAATCAGCTGTGTCCAAACATATGTATGTGTTTGTGTGTGTGTGTGTGTGTGTGTGTGTGTGTGTGTGTGCTCTGTAAGTCTGTGATGCAATTTATTAAGTAGTCCAATAGTACAGTACAGAATGATGATGCAGAAACCTACACACACAGATAGTGGAGATAAAACAGAATCCATAAAAATCTCATAAAATGGCATCAACTGACACAATATATAATTTATATATCAAGTCATTTCTTATTTTTGCATTCTTCACAAACTTTGCTGTTACTCTGAAGTACAGCACTGAACATATTTTAATTACAATTAAGGGCCTTGATCAGTTTATGTCTCAACATTAACCCTTCATTATAATATAAGCTTTGACCAATCACAGCAAAATGCACTGAAAAATAAAACAGTGTCATTGTTGGCTTATTAGATAAAAACTATTTCAAATGATATTATGTGAAATAATTTATTTAAATAACATAATAATAATGTTATTAATAATAGTAATAACAAAAGTAATGATAACAAAATAAAGAAAGCATTAATTCACTATTTATTTGGTAAGTGCATCTGATTGAAAAGTGCAAATGATTAACACGTTTGGTGTGGATGTAAATTACCTTACATACAAACTCATCTCCAGCAAAAAAAAAAAAATCTTTACCAATACTAGCCAAACTCTTTAGCAATGCTAACAATTGCCCTAGCTAGCAAAAATACTAATGCTAGCTACCCAGTGAAACTACAGTGAACTTGTGAGTCTGTAATGAAACTAAATATTATTTTGGGGCAATATGCTACCCTGTTGGAAAGGTACAATGTAAATGTACCCTCAAAGGTACAACAGTGGTTTAAATTTATATATGTACCTATTATATGTGTACCTTTTCATGACCTAATGTTTTAAAACACAAAAATGAAATAAAACACCTGGAGACAAGAGAGTGTGTGTGGAATCAATACAACTTATATGAGTATACTATGTAAATTATGTTCCCTAGCTAAAGGTACTGATGATGTAACCTTAAGGGGACTCTTTTTGAGAGTGTGAAGGGGGGCTTTTTCCCTTGTCTGGGGAACTTTTTTGCATTTTACATTCTCACCTCAAAAGAAAAAATAATTCTCTCTAAAAATGACTGAATTTTTACCTCTATAATAATCATATATTAAAAACATTATCTTATACAATTTATTATAGCTACATACATCACTGTAACGGTTTAAAAATTAGAAAAAATGAGCCTTAAATATTTTATTTCAAGATGAAATGTCAGAATGAGTTTGGCCCCATCATTTTGTCAGGAGTGAAAATAAGAGAGGCATCTTCTCCATGTTACACTATTAGGTTCCATGAAAATAATTAAAGATCCCACAGTATGTACATTTTTGGAAACACCTATGTGTGTTAGTGCAGCTTGACAACAGAAAGAAAAAAGCTGCAAAATACAACTATAGGATTACAGCTATTGCATTTGTGTTAAACGACAGGTTCAAACTAAGCTCGAAGTAAGTTCATTTAAATAGATTGTTAATTACTACAGCAGCAACAACCTCATAAACAAATTTATTTCATTATTTAAAACAGAATGATCGTCAGTGAGATTCTACTTTCAGGGGAACAGATAAATTACACTCACGTCTAACAGGAGGTTTTGAAGTGAACACTGTAAGCAGTATGGAAAAAGGAAAAGACAGCCGGCCCTGAAAAAGCTTTGATGAATTCCTTAGTTAGACGCGGCCTGCTTTTCAGTTTGATGATGAACAGAGTAGCAATGAGGCTTACACACGTGGACACACAAACACACGCACACACTCACACGCATACACACACCTACTAAACAAAATTACCAACATGCCTTGAAGCCACCTCTCCATAACAACAGAAATATGTCCTCTCATTATGATGCGTGCACACACACACACACACACACACACACACACACACACGCACGCACTTACACACACACATACTCTCTTTGTCAGCTGTCCTCCCCCGCCTATAATCTCTCTGCACCCCCATTTCTCTCTCTCTCCCTCTCTCTCTCTCTCCGCCTCTCGCTCCACTGTTCTGTGTGATAGAATATCGATCGCTTGCATTCTCTCAGCAGAGGGGGAAAGGGGGGGCTGTGGTCAGACAGGCTCCAAGGTCGTCTCCCAGGCAACTGCCGGATGGGTCACAGGGTTGCCATGGCGCCTAGGTCGCCAAGGTCACATGACGGGGGGAGGGGTCATCTGGATGGCCAGTAATGTTCGGGCGATGAGTAATTGTGGATGTGGGGTTGGGGTGTGTGTGCATGGTGTCAAAGGAAAGGGAAGGAATCTTGTGTTCTACCGAATCGTACAGTAAAGGTCTCTTTTCTTTTAGCATCTGATTCTATAGTAAGCTTTGACACTCAAACTAGACATATAAGAACTGGATTAAACTCACTGTAAAAAGTTGGCCTCACTTTCTAAACCAAAGTGTTAAAAAGCATCAAGGTTTCCGAACGTGGTAAATATGTGTACTTGGCCACTGGAAATATAAATAAGAATACCTGAGTAGACAGCTCATGAAGAGATATAAAAAGGTGTGTGGGGAATTCATGCGACTCCATTAGTCTTTTGAGATACAGGTGCTTGTAGCTGCATGTAGTTTCAGGTTTGTAGCTGAACTCACAGGTTCCTATGGTAACCTGCCTGGTAGCATCTCCAGTGTGCAGTTAGTAAACAACAGCAACAAATCATCAGTGCGGCTTTATGTGTGAGTGGCAGCAAGCGAAGCCAAAGGCAGCTTACATTCGAGATTTGAACGAAAGAAAGAAAGAAAGAAAGAAAGAAAGACAATAATAGGTGATAACAGAAAGAAAGGAAAAAGAAAGTAAGAAACAAAAAAGAATACAATAGGAAAAAATAGAACTCGATTCAAGTAAAAAGAAACAAGCAGAGAGAGGGAGAGGTTTAGAATATACATCATGCTGAAGTGTCTCTTCA